CCCACCTGCCTCCTTAAACATGGGGGCTCCCCAGGAAGACACCTGCAATCCTGTTTTTTCTCTACACTGCCCCCCCATGAACAGGAGCTCTGGTAGCATAGTGCCTAAGGCACTTGACTGCTAACCAGAAGGCTGGCGGTTCAAACCCACCAGCCACTCCTCGGAAGGAAGGTTGGGCAATCCTACTTCCATAATGATACTGCCTCGGAAACCCAAGGAGGGGTCGCTATGAGTCGGGGCTGACTCGACGGCAAATAACAACAACAACAACAGCCCCCCCCATGGAAAGCTCATCCATCCTAAGGCTGATGCTAACATAAATCTCCAACAAGAAGCTGGAGTGGTGTAATAGGTAAGAGCTGGGCAACTACCCAAAAGGTTGGTGGTTCAAGCCCACCAGCACCTCCTCGGGGGAAATGCCACGTGATCTGCTCCCATAAAGATGACAGCCTAGATTACAACCCCATGAGGCAGTGCTGCTCTGTCATACAGGGTCACAATGACTCAAAATTTGCCTTGACAGCACCTAACAACTACAACGGATCCTAAATTTCTCCCCATCCCTAATCTGTCTACTCAACTCTCGACTCCACCTTCATCGACCTATGGGACATCAACATTGTGTTGTACAGGCTAAGGGTTAAAATGCAACACATTTCTCTACAATGACAACTCCCACTCATAAAGTGGAAACTCAGCCATAAAGGACAGAAATGGGCCGCGATTGTTCCAGGGCACATAACTCCTCTTCTCCTCCAGTTAATTCTTTCTCCTGTATATCTTGAAAAGGTCTTGATGACAACACCTAGCTTTGAGCTACCAATGGATTCATTCGATTCCTTCAGAGCACAACATGGTACCTTGCCCTTGTTGTTGTTGTTGTTATGTGCCGTTGAGTCAGACCCGACCCATAGCGACCCCGCCTTGGGTTGCCGAGGCGGTATCACTACGGAAGTAGATTGCCCAACCTTCCTTCTGAGGAGGGGCTGGTGGGTTTGAACCGCCAGCCTTCTGGTTAGTTGTCAAGTGCGTTGGGCACTACGCTACCAGAGCTCCTTAGGAAGGAGCTAAAAAATCTCCTGCAAGGTCTAGGTTCCCAGAGATGGACTCACCGGTCTGCTATTCACTCAACAAACATAGTGAGCTCCTGTGACCACGCTAGCACTGTGCTAGACACTGGTAGGCCTGGAGATGGGTCAGGCAGCCCCATGCCATGCTCCTGAGAGTCTGCTGTTGTTGTGTTGTTGTTGTTATGTGCCGTCGGGTCGGACCCAACTCATAGCGACCCCTCCTTGGGTTTCCGAGGCAGTATCACTATGGAAGTAGATTGCCCAATCTTCCTTCTGAGGAGTGGCTGGTGGGTTTGAACCGCCAGCCTTCTGGTTAGCAGTCACGTGCCTTAGACACTGCCTGAGGCACTACACCACTGTCTGGAATGTAATAAACAGGCAGCCCAGGAAGTCCTCCTACCCATCCCACCTCCTGAGTGCAGATCTTTTTCTCATTTGTTCATTCAACACATATGTAGTGAGCACCTGGTGTATGCCAGGAACTGCCCCGAGTTGAGGTACAGCAATGCACAAGAGAGATAACCCCTAGCCCTTATGGAGCGTGCATTTTAGCCCCTATTGAGGGTGGGGCCAGAAAAGGAAGTGAGTAAAATGTTCAGAAAGAAGAGGCTTACAAAGCAAGGGCCTGTTAGGCGGGATAGAGGATGGTGGTGATATTTTAAATAGGGCCATTGTGCTCCCTGGGAAGGAAAGTGGTATTTGAAGTAAGACACAGGCAGAGGCCCGAATGAGCACCGTCTTCCCGCTGCGCTCAGTTTGTGCTGTAAACATCGCACAGCTACAGGAAAAAGATGGCGTAATCCCTCCACCCACAGGAAAAGGGAGACCGTGTCAAAGGGGACAACAGAAATTATTCCACGTCGAACTGTCCCTGATGGACACTTGAGAACCAGCCCCGGGGACACAGCCGAGCCGGCCAGGCCGTGGGGCTCCCGGGGGGAGCTCTCACCGCCTCGTCCCCGGGGGTGTTTGCTCAGGGGAAGGAAGGAAGTTCAAATCCGGCTGAAGCAACCCCTGGAAGGCGCTTTAAGCAGGAAGGCAGGCTGCCGCCCGCCCGACAGGACGGCGGGAGAGGCCCCGGGCTGGGCAGCAGAGCCGCCTGGCTGCGGGCGCTGGCCATGGCGCGTCCTGCGCGCTCCAGGCCCCGGAACCGAGCTCCCCGCGGCCCGCCCGCCCGACGCCCGCGCGGCCTCTCCACCGGCGGGGTCGGGACCCACCCTTCTGCCTTCTCGGTGGGCACATAACTTCCTTTTTGGAAAATGATCACACTTGGGGGGCGGGGGGTGCTGCGCCCAGCGCCCCCTTTCCCCCCCGACCCCCGGCGGGCGCGTTCTGAGATGGCGGATTCGGTGCAAGTTGATCCTAGGAGGCCCGAAAACCCTCTTAGGCTGCTGTTTGGCTCGGGCCCGGGTCTCTCCCGCGCCGAGTTGCACAACAAACCATTTAAACATTTCAGCACAAAACCCGCTCCATTGTGGAGCCGAGCATTAAAAAGTGTTATTCGCTTTGAAGTTTCTGTCTAATGGCTCTAAACTGAAAGAAAATGTTTTCCTATTACTTAATTCAATCTTAGCGAAGAGACTTGGTAAAAAGCCCACGGATTTTGCCCCAAAGTGTGACAGACTTCTCTTTGTGTTTGCTTACCCTGCCCTGTCACACACTTTAATGCGCCTCTCTTTATCTGGCATTCAAAACTTTCTTCAATGACATTCAGTAAGGTCCAGAGGCTGGAGGGGAAAGAAAAAAAAAAAAAAAAACTTGTTTTTTTTTTCCCCCCTCTCGATATTCTTTCCCAGTAGCTTTGGTCTTCCTCACAGTCAGGGGCTCTTAACCCCTTCCTCCCCGTCCTCGCGCGGCGCCTCCCAGGAGAACCCCACACCGGCCTCTCGCGGGCTCCCGGCTCCAGGGCGCACGGCCGCTCCCTTCCCCCGGCCGGGCTCCCACGAACGCTGCGCCTCTCCCACCTTCCCGCGGCCAGCAGGGAGCCCCTCTCTCAGCCCCGGTCCCAAAGCTGGACTCGGTCTCAGCCGCCCAGCCCAGGTCAAATGCGTCTGGAAACAGTTACAACAGTAAGAAGGCTGAGCCAGCGAGTCCTGGCTGGTTTGTGGGCACCGCCCAAAGTGAAGGCGCCTTGAGACCCGAGACGGTGGAGCTGGGGGAGCGAAGCATTCCCTGCACCTCATGCTTACCAATGGGAACAACCCTGAACCCCAACTCTGGCAATAAATCCTCCACCTGGGGCTTTTGTTTTCCCCTTGTCCCTCACCCTTTTATGGAATCGGATTTTCCTCCCATGATAGATTCTCTTTGCTTTGCAATCGGTTACTTTTTCTAAGATTGCATCAGTGGTGAAAGCCCCGCGTCCCCACTGGGATTTTCAGCAGCCTTCCTCACGCGCACCGTTTCTTGCCTCTGGAAAGTGTCCTTCTCCAATCTCACAATTCCCTTCAGGGCCCACAGCAGGTGATTTGCAGCGATTCCGTCCCAATACAATCGAAAGTCAACATCTCTCCTGAAAAGTTACGGGCTGCAAATTCGAAATATTTATGCTAATTTCCCATTGTATGGAAAAAGCCCCCGCGAGAAGCAGCTTTGAGGCAAGAAAGGTTTAAAAAGCTGAAGCTGTGTACAGAGTGCTGGGCGTTTGAAGTTGTTTAACCATTGTGTGACCAGAAAGAATAGAGTGACGCGGCAGGAGGAAGAAGCTGGGTCTACGGGAGAGGGGAGCCCGGGCAGGGAGGGCGCAAACAGCCGGTGCTGGAAATACAACTGCCCCGCGCGCCGCTGCTGCAGGGCGAGCTGCCGGAAACAGTGGTTTCCGGGTTCCCGGGCGAGGCCACGCGGGTGTGCGCTGGTGGGGAAGGCGCCCGCGCGCGGAGGGACCGTCTACACACGCCGTGGCAGGTGCTGGTGCGAGGTCTGCACCGTCTTGGTTTTCGTTCTTCATTCCCTGTCTCTGTCTTCTGTCGGTGACTTTCAGCGACTGTTTTTCTTTTGCAAATTTAAAAATATATACATTTTCATTACATCTTCGGCCCTGATGTTTGAAGGACAGGGCCGGTTGACCAGCATCTACCCAACAAAAGACTGGCGCCCTGCGCAGCCTCAAAGTGAAGGCCACTTGGGCAACTTAGAGAAAACAGAAGGCCAGCGATAGGGCTAGTGATGGATGGGGGGGAGGGACTGAGAGTTTCTTCCTCCTCCCCATCGTCCTCTGCCACGGAAATTGGTCCTTGCTCCTGACTCCAGAAGAGGAAAGGTGACTCCACAGGTGGAAATGGGGGCCGGTGCACGGACAGCCCGGGGTGCACAGCGCTGAGCTGCGGAACCGAGTGGAGACGGCCTGCTCTCGGGGGACAGGGAGGCATGAGAGAAGGAGACGGTGACCAAGTGCCCACGGGAATCTGTGGAAGCGAGGCAGCGGGGGTGCAAAATCAGTAAGATAAACGGGCCCGTCGCGAGTGCAAAGCCAAAGGGGAGTAAGGAATAAAGAGAAAGAAAAGAATATTAAATCGCGAGAGAATGAGAAAATAAACCCGCAAAAGGGAGAGGAGGGAGCCAGGGCGCCTGTTACGGCGTGGGTGGGGTTCCCAAGAATACAGTACATTATGCAGTTCATTTAGTTAACAAGTGAAATAATGAGGAAGCGTGCAGAGTGAATGCCAAGAGAAAAGGCACAAAAAGCCTATTGAGAGGCCCGGCCGCTCCTGGCGTAGCCCATCACATGGCAGTCGTCCTATTTAAGCCGCGCCGCCGGCGCCTTTCAGCACCACTAGCGCTGGCCAGCACCCCGCGTTCTGTGGGCGGCGCCCTTGGCAGCGCGGCGGCCGCTGCAGCCCGGCCTTCGGCTCCCGCCTCCCAGGTGGAGGCCGCTGCCGGGGACTGCAGGCCGGGGGAGCCCGTGGAGAGTCCGCGGTGGTGCGAGGCGCACGGGCGGGCTGGCGGCAGGGCAGCCGCGCGCCGGGACCATGCCGCGCTCCTTCCTGGTGGACTCGCTGGTGGTGCGCGAGGCGGCGGCCGAGAAGAAGGCGCCCGAGGGCAGCCCGCCGCCGCTCTTCCCCTACGCGGTGCCCCCGCCGCACGCGCTGCACGGCCTGTCGCCCGGCGCCTGCCACGCGCGCAAGGCCGGGCTGCTGTGCGTGTGCCCGCTGTGCGTCACCGCCTCGCAGCTGCACGGCCCGCCCGGGCCGCCCGCGCTGCCGCTGCTCAAGGCGTCCTTCCCGCCCTTCGGCTCCCAGTACTGCCACGCGCCCCTGGGCCGCCAGCATTCGGCCGTGTCGCCCGGGGTGGCTCATGGCCCGGCCGCTACGCTTTACCACACCTCCTACCCGCTACCCGATCCCAGACAGTTCCACTGCATCTCTGTGGGTAAGCGGGGCACAGGGCACCGGAGACCCCAGGCGGCGGGCCGGCCTCGAAAGGAACCGGGGAGCGGGAAGGCATCCTGGGGGCGGCGAGGGTCCTATCCGGGGCCCTGGGTAGGCGCTGAGGGTAGCGTTCGGATGGAAAGCCGAGGCACGGTGCCCGGGAGGCGCTGAGGACGGAAGCTCCAGGTCCCGGAGAGGGCGCCCGGTGGGAAGCGAAGGCTGGGGTTGCAGGGCGGCGTGACTGCGGGAGAATCAGTGCTCCAGGCGGGGCTCCCGCGGTCACACTACTGCGGATGGTGCTCAGGGCTCGGGGGTGGGCGAGACCGCCATCCAGGGACTTCTGGCGGCCGTCCGTCCTGCAGGGCCTGGAGCCACGGGGCTGGGGCCTGACCTCACCCCTCTGCGCACCCGCAGACAGCAGCTCGAACCCGCTGCCCAGCAGCAAGAGGATGCGCACCGCCTTCACCAGCACGCAGCTGCTGGAGCTGGAGCGCGAGTTCGCCTCCAACATGTACCTGTCGCGCCTGCGGCGCATCGAGATCGCGACCTACCTGAATCTGTCCGAGAAGCAGGTGAAGATCTGGTTCCAGAACCGCCGGGTGAAGCACAAGAAGGAGGGCAAGAGCAGCGGCCACCGCGGCGGCGGCGGCGGCGGCGGCGCGGGGACCGGCGGGGGCCTGCCACAAGGCTGCAAGTGCGCCTCGCTCTCCTCCGCCAAGTGCTCCGAGGATGATGACGAGTTGCCCATGTCTCCGTCCTCCTCGGGGAAGGACGACCGGGATCTCACGGTCACCCCCTAGGCGCGCGCCTCCCTAAGTCGCCACCCCATGCCCTCCCCGCGCCTCCAAACACGGGGCCCCTGGGCGCAGCGCTGATTCCTTATGCTCGCTGCCAAGCGGCTGCCACGCACGGATTTGGCACCGCTTTGCCGGCGCCCAGAGCTTGGCAGAGTCCGGACGCTTGTATCCACGCCCCAGGGCCGGGCTGCTGCCCCCAGGCAACTCCAAACAGGCTCCGCCCGCGCGCCAGTCCCCGGGCGCGCAGCACGGCGGCTCCCGCGGGCTCGCAGGCCACCCGGAGCCTCGCTGGCCGCGGCGCCTGCCCGGGCGCCCTCTCGGGGCTGGCTCGGTCCTTCGCTTCCTCTCCTGTTCTTCGCCCCTGGTCGAGCTCGGCCTTTCACACACACACACCCCATGCCCTTTCGCTCCTCTTTGCTCACTTCTGCCTCTTACTCATCACCCTGGTCCAGTGGCCCTTCGTCTAACCGTCCCACCGCCCCCGCCACAGACGGCTGAGAACCCCGTTCTCTCTTTTCCCTTCTCTGTTTGCCTTCGCTCCCCGGCGAACCGCCTCTAACATCAGGGCCGACCAGGCCGGGGCTTCCTCAGCCCCCACGGGCACCCTTCCCCAAGCTGAGTGTTGTCACTCGCAGTATTCGTGTGTGTGTGTGTGGGGGGGGGGAACCAATTCACTTTGTTTCTAGACGCTCTGCACCCCGCAAACGGAGGCCCGGCTCTCTCCCTCCAACTTGCCTCTGGCCTTCCCCTGGGCCCCCCCACCTCCCCAGATTCAGCACCCACCCCACCCCCTGCGCGGCATAGCTCAGTCATTGTACGGTCCCGGTAACATCAGAAGATATTTATTTATTTATTTATGTACAAAATTTTAAATAAACTTCTTTTTTCTTAGCAATTGCCCGTGGCTCTGGGCTCCTGGGGCATCCACTCTGGAATGGAGCGGCCCCAGCTTGAACTGGGCCTCCCTCCTGAGACTGGGGAGGGCCTAGGACGGGGTACCGGGGTGGGAGCCCCACCTCACCCCGCTCCTCACTTGGGACTCGGGTAGCTCCTGCACCCACCCACCCCCCGCACCCACAGCCCCGCGGAGACCCGCCGGCCAGGCCGGCTCGGGGGGTCCCAGCGTCTCCTTGCCCGCTCGGGCCTGCAGCACGCGCGCCCGGGCGGACTGAGAGCCCAGCTCGAAGGGAAAAAGGGACCCATCTCCTCTTTAGGCCTCCATCTTCAGCCCTCAGGGTCTCGCCGTCCCCAAAGGCCATCCTCTAGGACAGCGACCACCTCCCCACGAGCGCAAAGACTCGGTTCTTCGCTGCGACCGAGTTTGGTAACAGCTATCCATCCGGTCGGGGGAAGTCTCAGCCTGAGGATGGAGGAGCCTTCTCTCGAGGGGCCCCTCGCTTTGCTCTAAGGCAGAGCTCTTCAGCAGGTTCGCTGGTCGCGACCCCTGCCACCCGAGGAGCGGCCCCTGTGCCAGCAAGTCTCCGCCAGGGTCCCCGGGTCGCGGGGCGGCCACTCTTCACCGAGTCTCATAACAATCTCACCGCCCCCTACAACTTAGAATCCGCTCCCCAACTTCTCTGACGAGCTATGTTGGGCGTTTTATGCCTGCGGCCCCAGAGGAGAAGGGCGTTAAGCCGGGTTCCTGGAGACCAACGCAGAGCCGACAGCGCGCGGTCCAGGAAGGAGTATTTCTGCTTCTCAGCAACCAGACGCCCGACACCACCCGGCCGGGTTCTTGCGCCTTTCGTGGACTCCCACTCGGGGTCCTGCACACCAGTCACAGGGCCCTTTTCCCTCCACTCTCGCACCCCCAACACACACACCCTGGGGGCACCGGCGCGGGGTATCTAGGCAAAGCAAACAAGCACATCTCTTCGGGTGGCAAAGACACTCCATTTCTGGGGGTCATTGCTAAGACCCTCAAATCCAGCTGAGTGCCAAGTCTCTCCCCAGCTCCCCCCCTTTTTTTTCTGGATCCTACACCTGGGCTGTGCCCGACACAGTGACAGTTGGTCCCGCGCTTCTCATCAGCCTGAACCCCAGTCTCACGGAAGACCAACCAGTTCGCCCCCCACTCCGCCCCCTGTCTTAACGAAACCGCAGTGTTTGCACCACGGGGAGAATCCCAACTCATGGCTTATTATCCGGGACGATTCTAAAGCTTTTGGGGTTTGGGGCAGCCCAGACCCTTCTCTGGGGTCCTCAGTGCGTGCGATTGCATTTCCTTTACTCCCGGTTGCCTTTGGCTGGGGTTCTGGGGGCGGGAACAGCACGACACCCCCCCCAGGGGACAAGTCCATAGGGGGTCGGAAGGGCTCCATTGCAGCTAGCTCCTCCGGTGGATTAGGGCAGTGGGGTGGTAGTGGCTGTGGTCAGCGGAAACAGCAGCTGGGGTTGGGTGGTAGGCGTCTGGGTGAAAAAATGCAGTTTGCAAGGAGGGGTGGAAAACCGGGCTAGTGAGGATGTTAGGAAGCAGCACCGTCCGGGCTTAGGACACCCTAACACACACACACACACACACACACACACACACATGCCGGCCTGCACAGAGGTCCCGCCTGTCTCCAGCTGCTCGAAGAAGCCGGAGATTCCCTGCTGCGCGCGCGTCCAGGGCGCACTGGTCCACTTCCCCCAGGAACCGGTGTTTTTTCCTCTCTGCTTCCCCACTCAGGGCGTTCTTTCTCGGCTCCACTCCCAAAAGACCAACCTCTCTGCTTCTGAAGGGCTGTCCCCGCGAGCAGTGGGACGAAAACACAACCTTCCTGTGTCCCTCCCAGTTGTGGCCAAGGCCAAAGCAGGAGCGCAGCGCTAGGACTTCCAGGATCCAGCAAGCCGGTAGAGGCGGCGACCGGACTTCGAGTCCCTGCACGCTTCTGCTCAAATACCCCGGGCGCCGCTGTCCCTGTCGACACCGCAGAAATGGCGCCGGCCTCTAATGGAGCCAGGCTGTCTGCTAGATACCACCGCGGGCCTGAAGGCTTCCGTCCTGGCCCAAGACTCAGCACAGTTGGGGCGAGGGCCGGATGGGGAGCCAGAACCCGGGCTTGAAGCTCACATTTGTCTAAAGCTGGAATTTAGGGTTTGCAAGGCAAATTGTGGAATTAGAACCAAACTGAGTATGGATCAGGATGAAATTTCCTGGAAATTAGCATTTAATGTCACTAATCCACCTACCAACACCTGCCTTTCTTTTTCTTTTCTGTGCATTTTAGTGGCTAGGCCTTTACGCGGTAGAATACAACTGCGGGGCTTTGTAATCAACCTCTACCATCTACTTATGAACTGGGTGATCTTGGGCTAGACACAGGTCCTTCCAACGCCCCAATTTCTCCATCTGTCAGTGGGAATTCTGTAAAGAGCTCCTCTGTAGAATTCTCAGAACCTTGGTAACTCAGTGATCGAAGGGCTCAGCTCCAAACCGAAAGGTGGGTGGTTTGAACTCATGGAGCTCAGAGGCAGAAAGATATGACAGTCTGTCTGCATAAAGATTTCAGCCTTGGAAACCCTATAGGGCAATACTACTCCGTCCCAGTTCTATTCTGTCCTATAGGGTCACTAGGAGTCCCAATGGACTTCATGACAGTGGTGTTGGTTTTACTTCGTTTGTAGGGTTGTGCAGTACTGGGCAATAGAATTCACACAAAATGCTGAGAAGAGTGGGCTGAGTTTCAATACATGTTAACCAGTGTTGTGGCTGTTGCTATAGCGATGTTAGTGTCTTGGAGCTGTGCCTAGGCATAGATGGTGATGATTTACTGAATGGTGAAAAGGCTTAGACACCCACAGGCTCAGACTCAAACCCACCACAGAGGGACCTGAAGAGTGTGATGTGTGTGTGTGTGTGTGTGTAGTTCATTATTCAGCTCCCCTCTGCCAAGTACTGCCCAGGTGCTGAGAGTCACCGAAGCCCGAACCAGCAAATCAGTTGCTGTGGAGTCAACCTCAACTCATGGTAACTCCACATGAGTCAGAGTAGAACTGTGTTCCACAGGGTTTTCTGTGGCTAAGTCTTCAGAAAATCACCAGGTCTTTCTTCTAAGGTCCCTCCAGGGGGTTCGAATCTCCAGCCTTTTGGTTAACAGCAGAGCATGTCACACCCAGGGACACGGGCCAAACAGGCGTCTCTCTCTACCTTTGTGGAGACCAGAGTCTTTGTTGAGGGGACTGCCCAGTGCATTGTGGGATGCTTAGCAGCCTCCCTGACTTCTTACCACCAGATGCCAATAGCTCTCCTCCCTCCATTTGTGACAACCAAAAAATGTCTCCAGACGTTGCCAACTGTCCTCTGGGGGGTCAGAACTGGTCCCCACTGAGAACCACTGATGTAGCCTCATACGCTTTTGCCAGTTCTCCGAGGTCAAGGTGTGGTAGCCTTGGTCTGAGCACGCCTCCCATCTTTCCTTCAGAATCCCTTCCTCAGATAGTCCTGAAGTTCCTTCTACACAGGGGCACTGGGCTCTGAGGAGGGGGCGGGGGAGGAGAGGGACAGACAGTGGGGGGCAGAGCTGTAAGAGAGGTACCAAAGATGAAGGTCCTTTGCTGCACGCCAGTGAGGCCACGTAGCCTTGGACATCCAGGCTGGAAGGGTGAATCCAGCAGAGGCTTGCTGGGTGAGCGAGGCTGGCAGGCCACAGAGCCTTTTGAAGAAAATCCCAGCCATTCAGCTCACAGCATATGGACGGCGGGCTGCCTCTGTAGTCCTGCCCATGGGTATCCATCCTTGTGGTTGTTGTTGCTATGTGCTGTGGAGTCAGACCTGACTCATAGCCACCCCTCCTTGGGTTTCCAAGGCAGTATCACTACAGAAGTAGATTGCCCCATCTTCCTTCTGAGGAGTGGCTGGTGGGTTTGAACTGCCAGCCTTCTGGTTAGCAGCCAAGTGCCTTAGGCACTATGCTATCAGAGCTCCTATCTCCCCATCCTTAGGGAGAAAAAAATTCAGGAGCCCAAGATGGCATCTCCCTAAACCTCACACACACACACTCCCACATTTGAACACACATTCAT